TTGTAGAACACATTTTTAGGTTGCACGGGGTGCCATTGAGGGTGGTCTCAGACCGAGGAAAACAATTTACTTCCAGGTTCTGGAGGAAGCTCATGAGCTTACTGCAGGTGGAGGTCAATTTTCGACTGCCCGGCACCCTGAAACCAACGGGCAGGCGGAAAGAGCAAACGGTGTCCTCCAGCAATACCTGAGGTGTTATGTCAATGACAGAGAGAATGACTGGGTAGAAAAGTTGGCGCTGGCGGAATTTGCCTACAACAATGCCGAGAATGTGTCCACAGGGATGAGCCCCTTCTTGGCTAATTATGGGTGTCATCCCAGGGCTTTCCCAGGGGAGATGGGGAGAGATGGAGCGTCCCGGCAGCCGAGCATTTTGTGGAAGAAATGGAAGCAATCCATCGTCAGCTCCAACTCAACTTAGAAAGGGCGAAGGAAGAATACAAGAGGCAGGCAGACAAGAACCGAAGGGAAGGTGAAACCATAAGGGTGGGAGATAGGGTGTGGCTGTCAACCCAAGGGTTGCCGTTCAAAGGAGGTTGTAAGAAATTAAGACCCAGGAGGTTGGGTCCCTTTGAGGTCATTCAACAGGTCAACCCAGTGGCTTTCAGGCTCCGGTTACCCAACCACATGAAACTGCACCCAGTATTTCACAGGTCGTTACTGTCACCGTACGAAGGGGGACGAGAAGGGCTGGCCACTCGGGGACCGGTCATAGAAGAAAGAGAATGCAGCAGCCATGTGGCAGAAATCCTCGACGCCAGGTGGAAGGGGGATCAGGTGGAGTATTTGGTAGCGTGGGAAGGAGAACCGGAGTCAGAAAACACTTGGGTAATGGCCGAAGATATCAATGACGAGGTATTGATAGAAACGTTCCATCAAAGGTTCCCAAGGAAACCTCAGCCTGTGGAGAGGTTCCGGAGGGAATACTTTGGGACCACTGATGAGGGGAGGAGTTGGAAGGATTCCCGGACTCGGAAGGGGAAGGGAGATGGACTCTGAGGAGGAGGTGTACTTCGAGACCAGGAACCGCAACAGGTTGAGAGAAGTGTTCGAGACATCGGAAGATGAAGGAAGTTCATTCCGGGGTTTTGCCTCGGCGAGAGGGGGTGAAGGGGGCCCTGGAGGGGAGGTGGATGTCAGGGAACTGCCATCGGACGGAAGGGAGGTGAAAGGGCTCACACAGGTTGGGAGAGACGCAGCAGCTGAAGAGGGAACCAGCAGGGAGGTGAAAGGGCTCACACAGGTTGGGAGAGACGCAGCAGCTGAAGAGGGAACCAGCAGGGAGGTGAAAGGGCTCACACAGGTTGGGAGAGACGCAGCAGCTGAAGAGGGAACCAGCAGGGAGGAGCTGAGCTGGAGGGATGGCTCAGAGACACTTCCAGCGAAAACAGTGGGGAGGTTTCAGGACCTCCTGTAAGAACACCCACTCCTCGCCGGAAACTGTCACGCAGAGAGTCCAGAAGACGTGTTTCCGTTAAGGAGCTTTTATGTTGGAAGCGATTACGAAAGCAACCACTGTCGGAATCTGCTAGTGACTAGAGGAGCCATGTCTGAGGGGCTCCGTCACAGACAGAGGCTTGTGGACTTAAACAAACTCTGAGG